CTTCGGTAACTTAAATAATGATATATCTGAATCCTTTTGTTTGCTAATTAAGCATCCATCCACTCAAAAAATTATTGTAGTAGGAACGACGTTTTGCCATTATAATTTATCAAATAGATACGTAATATAATATGTACATATACAGCGTGCCCCAAAACGAATAGATAATCCTGGAGCTCCTAATAGTATCTACAGGCATCAGGCGCTCAAATAAAAATAAAAATAAAAAATATTCCAAGTGGTGCCAAAAATAGGAAGGCTTTAAAAAATATGTTTTTATCGGCCTTACTGTACTTTCATGTACACCACTGCCGCAAATTAATAAAAATTCGTTGCGTTTTTGGTGTTTTCTTATTCCTCAAAGACTATTCTATTAGAAATGCAGTAAAGAGTATGAGTATCTGTTGTACTTTATTGTAAAAAAAAACTTCAATTTTTAGCATGAAATTTTATAAAAAAATAATTTTGATAAAAGTTTGAGAGCCATTCATGAAAAAAAGTACGAAGACCTAAGTGGCCAACTATTTCAAAAATATGTGCAGTTAATACAGTTTACAAAATGGTATAATACAAAATGGTTAATATTTAACGTTAAGATGCAAAAAGAATAAATTCGACTGAAGAAAGGAAAAAATAATCTTATCTTAAATTGTCATAATAAAAGCGTTAAGTTGTACATAAATCAATCTTTATTTCATAACAGGTGTTCGAATTGTCTGCCACCGACTCTGATACAAGCTCGACATATTCTAATAAATGATCTTCTAAGAAGTCGTGCGTAGCGCCGTTCGGTTATTTTTGAAGCTGCCTCCTGCACACGACTGCGCAATTCCTCCAAACTTGAAATAGGCTTGAAGTACATCTGTTCTTTTAGACAGTCCCAGTAAAAAAAAAATCTAGCGTATTTAAGTCCGGGGAACGCAGAGGCCAGAAAATGGGACCTAAACGACCGATCCATTTATTTGGATACGTGGCATTTAAATACACACGGACGTTTGCAGCATAATGTGCAGGACAAACATCATTTTGTAGCCAGTGGGATTGTCTCACCGGCACCTCTTCCATTAAATTTGGCAGATCACTTTATAGAAAATTCAAATAACTTTGTCCAGATAATTTTTCGGCCAGTTCAAATGGACCAATGATTTTTCCGTTTAAGATACCAGTCCAAAAATTTATTTTGAACTGGTATATATTGCTTCTCGCATTAGATGAGGATTTGAGAGTTGCCAGATGTGCAGATTATGCATGTTAAAGTATCCGTCTTTTTTAAGAGTGGATTCATCGCTCCACAGAATTTTGTCGAAGAATTGTAGATCTTGTTTTATTTTTGCAAGCATTTGTCGACAAAAAACAATCGTGCGTTGTAATCTCTCGGTTGTAGAGCTTGAACGCGTCTAATGTGGTAGGGATGAATTTTTTTTCAGTACACGTTGCATGTTCTTCTTTGAGATACCAGTACGTCGTGCTATTAATCTAGTAGAGGTGGACGAGTCTTTCTTAATTTCGTTAAGCACAATGTCTTGTGTATTGATATTAGCTAGTCTTCCAGTGCTCATACCACCATTACCGCTACCAGGTATTCTACCTTCCGAATCACACCTGTGGACTCTGATGAATACGAGGTGATCTGGGTGACGCGCGGTAGGGTAGCTTTCCCTATAAAGGGCTGCAGCAGCACTTCCGTTGCTTCTGTATTCACCATAAATGAAGTGCACGTTTGCGTATTCTTATGCCGTATATTGTATACGTGGCATTTTGATACACAATATCAGCCCAGATATAAGCCAAGTTGTCGTAAAATTACCAAACAAAGTCCAAATCACAAAGCAAAACTAAGAGTCCACTGAAATGGCCAGGAGTCGTCGTTATAAAACTGATTTTAAAATCACAGAGAACTCGAAAAGGAATGCACACATGCGATACCCGACAAGTCGAGAGACGTACTAAATTCTTGCCTTTGTTATGTGCCCAGTCGCACGAAAAAAGGTACAATTTATTAACATCATATACTCTTCTGTCGCTCACTCACACTCTACCTATTTCTGTCTCGTAAATCGTAATAAACAAAAGATGGGTAGCGTGGGCCACACTCAAGTAGGAAGTACCGATATTATACGATCTTTACTACAATAAAAACGACTTTTTCACTCAAGAACGCTCTTGTCATTTTCACCGTTAAAGAAAAGACAAGATTTTTTTTTATTTTCTATCTTTGGATAAAATTATATATTATATCATTTTGTAAACTGTATAAACTGCGCATATTTTTGAAATAGTTGGCCACTTAGGTTTTCATACATTTTTTTCAGCATAGGTTCTCAAACTTTTGACAAAATAAGTTTTTTATAAAATTAAAAATAAAAGTTGTTTTTTTCCAAAAAGTACAATAGATACTCTTTACTGCATTTCTAATAGAATAGTCTGTGAGAAATAAGAGAACACCAAAAACGCAACGAATTTCATTAATTTGCGGCAGTGGTGTACATGAAAGTACAGTAAGATCATTTTTAACAGTGGTAGAGCCACGCGGCGGCTTTTGCTGTCGCACGGATGGGCCGGCTCGAACCGGGGGTGTACCACGACCTCACAGAATACCAACGTGAAGTAGAGGTTTACCTCTGCGTTTCGCTTGGTGAGTGCAGGTGACCGGAGGCCCTTTTTACTGGAAATGAGGCATTCTATCTTAGTCCTCACGGGTGACAACGCATCTGCATTTTGATTCACAAACGAGGATAGATGTAGATGTCTATGGGCCGCAGCAACCACTTACCATCAGGTGGACTGTGTGCTATTTTGTCACCCTTATCTTATAAAAAAAAAATTTTAAGACTTCATATTTTGGGCACCACTTCGAATATATCTTTTTTTGTATTTTTATTTGAGTGCCTGATATATATCAATAATGCCTATATAGTATCAGGCGCTCCAGGATTATCCATTCTTTCTGGGTCATATTACCCATCTATTTGATAAACTATAATGGCAATGCTGGGGCCCCTAATAGTACAGGTACCACCTGTACTATTAGGCGCTCCAGGACTATCCATTCTTTCTGGGTCATATTACCTATCTATTTGATAAACTATAATGGCAACTCTGGGGGCCCTAATAGTACAGGTACCACCTGTACTATTAGGCGCTCCAGGATTATCCATTCTTTCTGGGTCATATTATCTATCTATTTGATTAACTATAATGGCAATCCTGGGGCCCCTAATAGTACAGGTACCACCTGTACTATTAGGCGCTCCAGGATTTTCCATTCTTTCTAAGACACCCGATATATATTATTCTTAAAATACATTAAAATTTTTTCAACTATTTTATCCTACAATTAAATATACTAAACTCGAAAGAACTATTTCGACGAATATTTCAACAAGTATTTATAAAAAACTATTTACGTAAACAGCGTTAAAAAACTTTAACATTCAATCGCCTAGAACGCTCTAGTCCCTACTAAGTTTTACGCTGGGGGCGCTCCGCGATTGTAGGTAATTATTTCACGCAGGTAGCAAGAGTGACAGAGGCCTGGTTTTGCTTTAAATGTAACAGTTATCACTGTTATTCGTAATACAAAAAAGGATAATTAATGCGGATTTAGACCTGGAAGAGGATGCACGGATCAAATGTTTTCTCTCCGCATGATCACGGAAAAGCTTCTGGCTGCTAACCAGAAGATTTTCTGTGCTTTTGTGGATCTTGAGAAAGCATTTGATAAGGTTGTAAGGAAGAAAATGTGGGAACTGTTGCCGGGGTATGCTGTGGATGGTGTAGATTGCTAAGGGCTGTGCAGTCACTTTACTGTGACTGTAAAGCCTGTGTGCGGGTAGGGCATGACCTGTCACCCATGTTTAGCGTCCAAACGGGCGTAAAACAGGGTTGTGTCATATCTTCCTGGCTGTTCATACTGTATCTCGACAGCTGTTTACAGAAGCTGAAAGATAGCTGTTTGGGTGTGAAATTGGGTGACATAAAAGTAAATTGTCTGCTGTATGCTGATGATGCAGTGCTTATTGCACCATCAGAGGCAGAACTGCAGACATTAGTCACGTGTATGAAAGAGGAATGTGAAATTAAAGGTCTCTGTTTGAATGCTAATAAAACTAAGGTTCTGGTATTTGAAAGGGACGAAGAGAGAACGAAGTGTGAAATATGGGTAAATCAGGAATGTCTAGAACAGGAAAATGAAATTGTATACTTGGGGAGTGCTTTTAGCCGGGATGGAAGATGTGATTTAGATGTGGACAGGCGTGTCGCGGCCGGGAACAAAGTCAATGGTGCCCTGACTGCGTTAGTCAAAAGGCAACGCGTAGTGAAGAGTGCACGCCTTGCAATACATAACGCAGTGTTGGTACCGACTTTGTTATATGGCAGCGAAACCTGGGTATGCCAGAAGAAGCATAAAAGCAAAAAAGCGATCTCTTCGTAAAATGTGCGGCGTTACCATGGCCGACCGAAAGCGAAACGAAGAGATTCGCAATATGGCAGGTTTGAAAGATGACCTTATCACAAAAATTGATAAGGGCGTGCTTCGGTGGTTTGGGCACGTTGAGCGAATGAGTGAAGACCGAATGGTGAAGAAAATATATAGCGCGAAAGTTAATATTAAAAGGTGTCGAGGTAGACCGAGACTAACTTTCGAAGACCATGTGAGCAAATTGCTCGAAGAGGGTAGGGTCAAGAGTACTCGGATACCTAGACGTGCATGTATGAAGAAGATAATGAATCTGAAAGAAGCGAAAGAGGTATGTAAGGATCGTGACACTTGGCGATCTGTTCTCTCTGGCTACCCCGTCAGGGATTGTGCGTGAAGATAAGTTATAATTTATGTTTAAATTTAACAGAAAGCTAACGAGGAATATTTTATACATGTTTTACAATTTCAAGATTATACGATAACTAAACAACGCTAGTTCCTGCCATTGGTGCTAAATTACAATGTATTTAATTAAACAATTCTTCCTCCATATAATCACATTCATTCATTGTTACAGGTCCGAGCGGTACCAGCTCAAGACTACGATGGTGAGTGAACGTGTGTTAATTGTGTGCCACTAAAGTGCGGAAATTGTACTTGCATGGTCCGCGTGGCCCAGTTACTGAAGTTATTGAAGTATTATCACAAAAGTAGTACTATTGTTTCAAATTTAGCAAAAATAACCTCTTTGGAATCACTTTGGTGTTTGTCGTTCCGTACTAGCGGTCACAGAATATTAGATGCTGGTTGTTGACCCTTGGGTTAAGCATCTACGTGCTTACCCCGTGCTTGATTTGATTTCATATTTTTTGCTTGAAGCGACGCTTTGTTAGTGTTCGCGGGTTGGCTATAGACGTCCAATACTTGATTATAATTACGTTTTCAGTTTAGGAGGCTTTTCAGGGTTAAGCTTGAACCTTAGCTTTAGACTGTTTTTGGATATCGGAAATGCGATTTGAATTGATTATGATAAAAAAAATTCACTAAAAATTGCATATAACGAAACGCAAATATGTCAATTTGGTCTAGTATTATGAAGTAGACGTCTGGTACTTGATTTTAATTATGTTTTCAGTTTAGGAGGTTTGTGTGGGTTAAGCTTGAACTTTTTACACTGTTTTTGGATTTCCGAATTGTGTTTTGAATTAATTACGATAAAAATAAATTTCACTTACTAAAAATAGCATATAACGAAACGGGTCACCCATAAGAAACTTAATTACTCGGACCCAGATAATCCATTTGTGGCTGAAGATGGGACTCATACTCAATGAATTGAGTTGCAGTGAAGAGCAGTCAAAAGATTTTTCAGAAAATAAACTTATAACAATTCACATTACATTGTTTCATTTAACACTATCGAGCAGATATCAGGGCAATCTGACTTTATAGATAAGATAGGTCGATTCTGTACTAAAACGGAATCAGCACGCCCATCATGCCGAATCAGACTACGACATGAAGACCTATAAGCGTGTCCCGCCCAAGCCCGAAGACAAAGGCTTCACCATCATCCAGCGCAAAAAGCGCAAACGCGCAGCCCCTAAAAGGCAGCCGATCCTAACTCAGCCCTCACGTCCCCCACAGCCAGCCCCCGTTGCGCGCGCTCAATCTCTAGGCTTGTGTCTAAGCCCGTAACGAAAGGGTCCCCTGCTGAACGCAGGGAAATGCCGTCGCCACCCATCATAGTACAAGATAAAACCAAGTGGAACAACCTTTCCAATTGACAACCAGACTGATAAAAATCGGTTCTTAGATTTGTGCCTTGTCATTCTGGACCTGTCTCCAGAAGATAAGGAGATATTTAAAGGTTCGGCGGATCTAGAACTTAACGCGGATTGCAGTTGGAGCCTCCAAAACAGTGGCATTGTTGGCCAGTGCCACCGATGCCAACTTTACGACCACTCGGCCAGAAACTGTTACGCCAGGCCTAGGTGACCACGGCACCACTGACTGCTTTCGCACGCCCCAGACGATTGAACCTCCGAGCTGCGTCAATTACCGCGAAAAAGGACACCCAGCAAACTATCGCGGGTGTTCCAAAGCGCCGCGATGGAAGCAGCGCGGAAGTAAAAGCCGTCCCGGGACGCGCGGGCCAAACCAGTGTGTCTCACTGTCGGCTGCCTGTCCCGAAACCTATACGTCTTCGGTGCCCACACTCTCGCCTCAAATCACCACCAAGAACGCCCATGTCGTCGGAATTTCCGTGCAAGGTGACGCCTCTTTGGCCCACAAACTCCGCGGAGCCACCACCCCTCAGGACAAGCTCAACGCTACGATTGAGCACATAAGACTATCGACTCAATCTGCTCCTTCCAGTGTGCCTAACCACTTAAGTACCACAATGGCAGTACAAACGTTAGGAAGAACTAAACCACGCTCTCAGACTGTCGCGTTCTTTAACGCGAACGGCCTCAGAGACCAAAAAGACGAGATCACGCTCTTCCTGCGCAACCACGATATTAGACATCATGCTAGTGTAAAAGACCTTCTTGTAGCCTAGTCATCGCAATCGTAATATAGCAAATCACACCTTAGTTAGAAATTATAGGTTGAGGTGGCACATTGATCTACTACAAAAGGTCCTTGCACTGCGTACCGATCAACGCTCCCCCGTTAATTAACATAGAAATCTCTATATGTAAGGTAGTTCTCTCTGGCCATCCGCCACTTACCATCATATCGGCATATTTACCGCCACTCAAACGCATAGTTGAATCAGGCTTTGTAGAATTACTTAATCTAGGCTCCAATGTTAGACTCCAGCTGTAGACCTCAACAAAAAACATTCCTCTTAAAACTCGCATACTAGCAATCCTAATGGTAATGCATTGTTCGATCTCACGGAGCGACTAAACTTCAATGTTATCGCGCTTGATACTCCAACTCGCTACCCATTCGCTACCAGTCACCAACCGGACGTCCTTGACGTAGCGATACTCAAAGATGTCCTTTTGTCGATATAATTGATCGAAACAATAATAGAACTCAACTCGGACCATAGACCAGTCCTAAAGCAGCTGGGCCAGCCCTCAGGTGAAGTCCTTCAGACCAAAATCATCCAGCGCTTAGACAAAATCCCTGATAAGATAGACTCATTACTTGGTAGAGCCATGCTACAGCTATATTACTAGTATAGTTGTAGCTCGGATGGGTCGGCTCGACCGGGGAAGGACCACGCTCTCACAGAATACCAGTGTAAAATAGCAGCTTGATGTTGCTGTACGTATGGTGAGTATAGAAAACCGGCGACCCTTTTTACTGGAAACTAGGCATTCCATCTTAGTCCTCGTGGGTGACAACGCGTCTGCATTTTGATTCGTAATAGATATCTTTGGGCCACAGCAACCACTTACGATCAGGTGAATTGTGTGCTCGTTTGTCATCCTTATCCTATAAAATAAAACTCGTCAGAGGAGGCCAATAAGGCGATTAGCGCCCTATCGACCCACCTCAACCCTACGGTTGAAAAATGCTCTCGTAAGGTTCGTGTGTCGAGCAATATACACTTGAAATTGCTAAGTGATATTCGACAGCTGATCAGAGCAAAGAATGCGGCCCTAAGACAATACGATCACTATCGTACAATAGATGACAAATTTCGACTGCACAACCTCCAAAACGAGGTGAATCAGCGCCTTACTGAATTTAGACATGACAAGTGGGATAATCTGCTGGAGGATATCGAGTCATCTCACACTGCCTTCTGGCAGTTGACTCGAGCTCTGAAAGCAGAACAGTCCTCAGTGCCCCCTCTCACTCTCACTTAGGCTAGGAATCCTTGATTTCGCCTTTGACGACTCTGAAAAGGCCGAATGCCTCGCGGATAGAGTGCAAATGTACTCCCTCTAGCGAACCTATAGATTCCGCTCACCTTGCAGAGGTCAAAGCGGAGATCAAGTGTAAGTCTGCACTACCACCTGCGGGCGACTCCTTAGATCCTGTGACAGTCAACGAAGTCACAGAAGTAATGAAATGCCTCAAAAAGAAATCAGCACCCGGCCCCGATGGCATTAGCAATAGGGTACTGAAATCTCTCTCCGCGATGCTCGTGTGCCTCCTAGTAAGCATATTCAATGCTCTTCTTTCCAGCTACTCCTTCCTGGATACCTGGAAAGAGGCAGACGTAATAGGAATCCCGAAACCGGGGAAATGGAAAATTTATGAGCGACTCATATTGAATCGCCTTCGTAAATATGTCTTCACTAACAAACTTCTTCCAGACGAGCAGTTCGGCTTCAGACCCGAACACTCGCGCACCGACCAATTACACCGCCTCACAGAATACATTCTGAAAGGATTCAACCTCCCAAGAAGAAGCCGTAGAACCACTTCGAACCGTGCCCTCTTCCTCGATGTCGTAAAAGTGTTTGATAAAGTCTGGCACAATGGCTTGCTTTACAAGCTGTATAAACTCAACGTGCCTGACAGGCTCATTCACATCATCAGAGCCTTTCTTGTGAATCCCCACTTTCTATATCGAATAGAGGATACTCGCTCTACAAAGCGTTCCCTCAATGCTGGAGTCCCACAGGGCTCCGTCCTCTCCCCACTTCTCTTTACTCTCTTCACGAGTGGCATCCCGAAGAACCCAGTGAATAATGCTCTTTTCGCCGCCCATCATCTCAAAAGAATTCTCATCTGAGAATGGATAGGTATTACAAGGTAGTGATATAGAATCCATCAACACCTTCTCGTCTCTCGTAATGAGTCCACTGCTAAACTTAGGTTTCTACAATAAAAGAACGCGAACGACAGGTGTAATTTATGATCATAATAGTATCGGACGTCTCAAATCACACCTTAGACTCTGCTAGCTGTCATCAGTCTAATATAGTTATTTCAACATAACCCGAAAGTAACCGAATTGGCAACTATGGATATAGTTGCCAATTCGGTTATGGCAACTATGGATATAGTTGCCAATTCGGTTACTCACAGTATGGAAGCGGTGATATTAATGCGAAATGGTATTTTTTTCCCCGCCAAACGGAATGTAACTTAAAAAAACATGCCCACCAGTTCCTTATGGCGAAAAATAAATGAAATTCACATAGGTATGTACATATGTAGATGAAACACCCTTACACTTAGATCTAAAGCAAAGAATTAATAGATTTCTTTAAGACTCACAGTGACTAGAGCATCACGCCTTGACAGTATTTTACTTTGGTTGAAGTTATATTCAATATCGTATAAGTACCTAAAAGAATCATAAATCCAGACAACTTCGTTTGTGTGTTCTGTTCCTTTAATAAATCCGGAGGTTAAATTTTCCTAAGTTATTGAACTTATTATAAAAATATAATATTGTCATTTTTATGATTACACTGCAACAAAACATTTGTTCCAAGTATTATTAGTTATTAGATTAGACATTTAAATGGATACATCTAACCACAATGGGTGGTTAAATGTAAAGTATTCGGTATAAACCGGGTTCTAATCACCATTACCCTCATTACAGTAACGGACATAAAATGTACGTTCGCCAGCGGCGGATCAGGGCTCCGCGATTCCGTGACAGCGTTGCTAAGGAAGCCCGAGGGCTTCAGAGGAGCGCCCCTATTCGCGGATGACCGAATGACGGACCCGCTCGCAGACCCCGTGTGCCAGATACGACCGGAGCCCGAGGATCCCACGGGTCTTCTCTATAGGCTACGTATCATGGATTTTACGAAATGTGGTGTTTTGAAGAGAAATGTGAGTATTGTTATATAATGAATAATATAAGATATATTTATAAAAATAATCTCATTGTTAGTTTTTAACCAACTTCAAAAATGGAGAAGAAGGTTATCAATTCGTCGGAATTTTTTTTTTATATATGTTACCGATTACTCGAAAACGCCTGAACAGATTTGGAAACTATTTTTTTGTTTCAAAAGAGTTATACTTCCAGGTAATAAAAAAAATTGAAAAGGTTAATAATAATAATAATAATAATCTTTATTTCAGACCAAAATTAATCCATAGTAGTGTTAGTAACAATTGACTTATAAACTAGTGTTAGTAAACATTAATGTGTGGACAAACTTTTTCAAAATCGGAGAATTATAGTTCTCCGCTACTGTTTTCAAAATGCTGTTGTGACTATCTCTCACCCTTCTAAGCAGCGAAGCTGTTTTCTTACGTATTATCGCATGAAAACCGTACGTGCGAGCTTGCGCAAACATCTCCGACGCACTACAGTATCGAGGCAGTCCCAACAACATTCTGAAAGCATTATTATATTGAACACGCAGGGCATCCAGCGACCTTTTAGTGTAATTGATCCATAGACTGCTCGTATACAGACTCTGGCAGTATGCCTTAAATAGGGTAATTTTTACTAAGTCCGTACATCGAGCAAATCTACGGGCCAGCATGTTACTCCTGACCGCTAGAGCCCTGCGTTCCCTCTCAATGTCTACATTATCTTTCAGGTCATCTGCAAGAAAATGACCAAGATATTTAAAGGACGTCACTTTTTTAAGTTTTGACCCATTCAAGAACAGGTCAGGTTCATCAGTCCTAGGCTTGCCCCTGACGCCAAAGACAATGTATTCACATTTTTTGACATTATATGCCAACCCATGAGACTCAGCATAGGCTACACACACCTTCAGTAACTCTCTTACTGCCCTCACCGACGGTCCCATCAGCACCATGTCATCTGCATAGCTGATGTTGTTAATACTAACCCCACCAACACTGCATCCGACACGCTTGCTACTGAGCTCGCCTATGAGAGCATCTATATATAGGTTGAATAATCTGGGAGACGTTAGACCCCCCTGCCTTACCCCGCATTCCAACCTGTACGGTTCACTAAGAGTATCGTCCCATTTCACATGATTTATTTGTTTACTGTACCAATATTTGAGCAGACCACATATCTCTGACGGTACACCCCTGTCCTCCACCTTCCTCCAGAGCACGTCATATGAGACGAGATCAAATGCCCTGGAAAGATCAAGGAAACAGGCATATACCGGGGTACCCCGATCTACGTAATATAGAACGGTGTGCTTTAGACTTAAAATAGCACTTTCGGTTGATAGTCCTGGTCTAAACCCGAACTGTGTGTCATGCAGTTGAATGTGGTCACTTAAGATGGTATCAAGCACACCGTCCAACACCTTTGCTATGATAGTGGCTAAGGAAATAGGACGATAGTTACCCTTGTCAGAGATGTCTCCCGTCTTGTTCTTCACAATGGGAACTACTATTGTCTTCATCATATTTGTAGGTAAGTAAGAGTAGCTAATACACATTGTGTAGAACATGGACAGGACTCGTGGCAGGTGAAATCCAGCGTGCTTCAGGTGCTCAATGCTGAGCCCGTCATGTCCTGGAGATTTACCTCGGCTCATACCTATTATGATACTGCGTATCTGTTTAGCAGAAATATGCACAAGAGGTTCCTCTCCCCCACAAACGGTCCCAGCACTACCCACCTGTGTTGAGGGCCCAAGTGGAGATTGTATTTTAAAATGTTCCATGAACATATTAGCGATGTCACTGGGTTCACTAATTCCTTCCACGCTCGTAGCAAGACTAGTCTTAGATTCCAACTTATTGGTCGACTTCCAGAAATTTTTAAAGTCCCTATTTGCTCTTTTTTGAGCTAATCTATCCATTTTGATTTGCTCAGCATTTTTCTGACAAAATTTGAGTTTAGTCTTAAAAATTTTTCGATTTTCACTCATTTCATCATAAATAGGACCAGATACGGGACGACCACTGAGTACCCAGGTCTTAAAACTACATCTGGCCTCATAGTGAGCGTCTTTTACATAGCTGTTCCAACCACATACTCGCTTACCCCGCCTTGGTCCCCCCTTATAAGTCACTCTGGATTCCTTAGCCGCCTCAGATAATATACTAACAATCTGTTCATACAAATTATCTAATGCAACCCTATGTTCGGCCAAGCCACAGAAGCCATTCGCACAGTTTATAAACTCATGAGGAAAGTCAATGTCCCGCAATTTGCTATTACAAAGGTTTTGGTAACATTGCGTCTCTACATTTGTTCTTTCACCCCATAAGACCAGGTTTTTATCATGACCTCTAAGTATCCGTTGATTTTTAATAACCGCTCGACGGTTATTAAAAATCAACAATAAATTATTTTATTTATATTGAAGTCAGTTGTAAAAAATTTTTAATTTAACCACTTGTATTTTTCTACACGTAAGCGGCGCCCAATAGTAAAAGATTAATGCAACCACAGATCATACTGTTATTTCTATGATCAGTGAATGCAACCCATGGGTCTGTCATCTGTAGTTCTGTAGTTCTGTATCCAATTTCAAGCAAAGGCCACATATGTCAAACTTGAAGACTTGGAAGATTATTTTTATATAACTGCTTGAAGAGAATGGAGACCAACCCTGATGTACTTCTAGGTAATAAAAATAACCTTAACAGCTAAGTCTCTGCACGTCTTACCAGGACGCTGGTTCATCTAGTGAGTGGTTGCATTACGTGGTGCTTGACTACTATAGAATCTTTCTTTCAAATATAGAATATACACTGACTCCTTTGTTTTCCCATTTTTTTAAGCTTTACGGGAGAAGGAGAACACATCATCGCATGACATGAGTTTTAGCGAGGTAGAATGACGCTGGAACTTATTAAGACTGCACTGCACCTGGAATGGGTCTGATTAACCGGAGAAGGGGTAAAATATCAGCCTTAAAATACCAGCTTAATTCTGCTGTGTTTCGGATAATGAGTGACAAAAACTGGAGATCTTTTTTACTAGTAACGAGGTCTTCCGTCTAAATCCCGAGAATGACAAAATATCTCAATAAATATTTTTAAAATTTTTGGCTGCCTGTCTGTGTGTCTCTGTCCGTGCCGAGCAAATTTTCGAAATGGCTAATTCGATTGTAAAGAAACTTCACGAATAGATACGAATGCAACGCCAGGAGTGATCTATAATATAATATATTATTCTAAAAACTTGGAATATGTTTTTAAATTTAACGTTATTTACATATAAGATATTCAAATACCATTTTGTCTTAATCTAAATAACGTAACACAAGTGGTAAAATTTAAAAATGATAATGTTAACCGACTTCAATATAAATATAATTTATTGTTGATTTTTTTTTAAAACCGCTCGACCAATTTCAATAAAATTTAAATGGGACCACCTGGGAAGTATACCCTTTGAAACAAAAAGAATTTTCCAAATCGGTTCAGGCATCTTCGAGTAATCGGTGTACATACATAAAAAGAAGATTCCGACGAATTGTAAACCTCTCCTCCTTTTTGAAGTCTGTTGATAAATCTTAGATCCTACCCAGGTGAAGCCGGGAATCGTTTTTTATCCTAAAAACTAATCAATTTTAGACTTTTCACTCGATCACTTGCAAAAATCGTACAACAAATGCATTCAACAATGTAGAGACTACAATGAATTGTAGCATATACATTCTTGAATACGGTTATCTAAAGGCAAAGCTCGTAAAATGGATATTAAAGCTCCGTATAGAAAGTGCTACTAAGTGTGTTATCTCCTTTAATCTACTGTGTCCTACCTTCAGTAATATGCCGCAGTTTAAATTTAGAATTGTGACTTCTACCAGCAGCTAGAAAGCGAACATGCTATCAGTTGTCCTACTTACTGTAACTGATGTAAGTTGGCTCAGTGAAAAGTGTCCACTATGCTTTTAATGCCTACATTAATTAATATTTCTTTGCGGCAGTGAGCACGTATAGCCTAAAGTTTATCGGAAATTTATTATTTTTTTATATTATCAACGTTCAGTTTCTACAAACATAAGAGGAATTCAAAAATCGAGAAGTTTGACGCGTATTTTATAGTGTACGTACGTTTATCGATTTCTCGAAAACGGCTCGACCGATTTAAATTATTCTTTTTTCAATAACAAACTTAATATGAATTCTGTAAATAAATATACACCAGTGTAGAGATTATAAAATCCTGACTTTAAAAAAAATATGCTTTTTTATACTGTATAATATGTTTTTATTAAAATCGCTATTCTTAAAATTTTACCTTATTATTATAAACGTCATATATTGCGTAATTATAATATTATAATAATACACTTTTTAAAGTGTATTTTATTTCTTTCTTAAAGCGTAACAAGCAAGATTAATACTGTTTTAAAAAAACCGACTGCATAAAGAAATAACTAATAATATACCCATTATCTATACGATTATATTAGAACTTTATCACAGCTGTATTATAATTTTTTGTAAAGAACAATGGCAGACTTTCATACATAAAATTAGTTGAGAAGAAATGGTAGCGTCTATATACCAAAAATATCTTAAAATATTAAGCCTCAGTCCCTTAATAACTCCGTCAAAGAATTTTGTACTGAGAAGGCGTCAAAAAAAAGATATTTACATTTGAACTTTTTAGGTTATGTCCTATGTCACTTGGAAAAAGTCATGCTTCCTGTGGTTGTTTGATGTTAGCTTAATACATAATACATAATTGAGAGTTTTTAGATTATTGTATCTCTATTATATATTTGCATAGTACTATAAATGTATATTTCTGGCATGGCTCCAGGTCTTTTGTATCATAGTGACATTCTCAGAAGGGCTAGAATCCAGAGTCGTAAAGCAAGTAAAAAAAAACAGTGACATTTTATTTTAGCTAGTGTTGACATAACATTAAATGGAATTGTTACATAGTACTATGATTGAGATAATGTATTATTGTAGGA